GCCGCCTCTAGCAGTTTTTTGAGTTGAAGTTGCAAGGATCGCGGCAGTTTTTGGCATCTTTACCAAAGCGGTCGTGGTAGTAGCACAAGTCTTTATTACGCTGTCGAGACTGTGAACGGGTGCGCGATCGCGTGCGTGAGCGGTTTCCCGAACGAGGTTGACGGTTTTGCGTGGATTGTGACGTGACGAGAGCAGCAATCTGCGCGGTTAACGCTGCGAACGCACTTTCCATCGAACGGCAACAATGGTCGGACACAGCGGAAATTTCGCGTGAGGTACTTGCGTCCATAACTCGGTCGGCACGTTCAGCCAAAGAATCCAACGATCCGTCGAGCCCAGAAATTACGGTGAGAATGGCTGGTGGCAGCTTCTGTAGCCAGAACTCCTTGAGAGCGGCGTCACCGATACCTTCTGGTAGCACGCCGCGCATATCACGGAGCATCTGTGACGGGCGGCGGTCACCCATGCCTCCGGGTTGTACAATAGATCGGAAACGCGTTGCTTGCGGAACGGCGTATGCAGATATGAGCCGATTGCGCACTACCGAATATTGCGCGTCCGCACCTAATAGGTCTGCGACTGTTCGTATGCCATCCGCGTCGAGTGCCGTGAGCACGTGGTTTACCTTAGTCAAGTCTGACCTGACTCGGTTGCTGTGAAAAATTGCTTCGGCGTGGATAAACCACTGTTGCGGCGAATGCCGCCAAAAACTAGGGAGACGGACGTGCTCGATCGCGGCGATCGTGTTCGGCCACGGTGCTAAGGAGGAGGCATTATCGGCTCGAGGCTCGACATTAGGAAAAGGCGGCGGTTGTACCTTTCCGGCATTCGGGTCCTCTATGGGTTGATTTACGGTGCCATCGAGTGTGTAAACGTCTAAAAGGTCCATGACGCGAGTCAAAAACGTACGAGAGAAACAACGAAAAAAAATTAACGAACACGCGTGACGAACTGACGACTGACGACGGAAGGTTTGAAAAAAGAAGGTCACCAATGTGGTAATTCGGTTTATCACACAACTAATTTTATTGTAAACATTATCACTGTGCTCGTAATTGTCACAGGTGGGAACTCAGGTATGAAATAATTGTAACACAAAGGTTGATGTAAGTAATTTGACGAGTTTCGTATATTAGTTGGTTTCAAACACGACACGCGTTATGTGAAATACAAAATATATAAAACTGAATAACACACGGACAAAACTTAAGTAAAGCGGACTGGTTATCGCACGACGGTCGGCGAAAGAGAGAGCGGTCGACTCGGTCGGGCGGCGTTCTACGCCTCAGTCATTGACCGAGTGAAGTAAGGAACGTTCACTCGGCCGCCGACGATAACGTCAGACCGTAACAAGATAATTATTACTAATACAAAAAACAATATAATAATAAATGATAATAAATAAAAACCGTAGCGTTGAGTACCGCCACATGATTTTTTAGTTATCTATTCCCAACACTGATTATGACCATGTCAACCAGCATTAATATTTTTATTGATCAAACAGAATATAAAAATCAATTTAATAATTGAGATTTTGTCGTTTTATTCAAATTGTTTTCAGTAAAAATGTGACATTTTGAACAATTTAATGTATCCTCGATATTTACATTGTTTTTTCTATAATATAAAAATCTGTTCTATGTGACAATATATTTATTTTAAATATGAATATAAAATGTGCATGTATTAAATTAGAATGCATGAGTCTAGAAATAAAAACTGGGAATCAAACACGGCAGGTACAGTTCTCATTGGAACTAGTTTCATAATTATTACATCAGTACTCAAAATATGAGAATATGTATATAAAGTGTTGATTAATATATTGTATTTATGTACTTATTCAAGATTTCAAGAATATAGACGTGCTAACTTATTTAATCCTGTGAGTTGTGATTTTAGTAGTACTAACTATTCACTGTTAATTATCTTTCGGAGGAAAGATAGTTAAGAATAGTAATCAAATTTGACAAAGCTAAACATTTATAAACTTGTTGGTCAATACTAGGTAGTTCATATTATTAATAAAATATTTATCTACCTTGTACTATTAATGTTCACCATTTAACATCAAACTGTTGCACCCTTAGTTTTTAATAATTTAATGAAATAAAATATTTTGAAATGTTTCATGCCATATTTTAATATTTTAATTAAATTTGTTTTTATTTATTTTTAGATCCATTTATCATTTGTTAATGTTTTTTATTGTGAAATAAAGGTATTATGTATTATTAATTTTATGATAAATGAAGATAAAAAATTAATTTAAAAAATGTTGTATACATTTTAAATTAAGAAAATAAAATATCGACCATCTGAAGTTTTACAAACAGACATGTAATAAATATTAGTTATATAAGTATATTATCTTAAATTTAGTCACATAAATATTGTTGTAATAATGCTTTGTCGTCGAACATGAGAAGATTCCAGGGAAAAACAGTTTTACCATAAAAAGTTTAATAAGACCTTAATAAATAGGTACCTAGTATTATCAGAATTTAATTGGTGTACCGATTTTTGCTCAAATACCGCTGAAATGGTATTCCGTAAACCTTTACATACCGTACTACCGTTATACCGAGGTTTGACTGTTTTTTTGTTAAAATTAATATTCATAAAAGTAAATACATATTGCTTTTGTAGAGATAAGGAAGGACGCACACTCATCCGTGATACTGTGGATCTTAATTATTAAACCTTATTACGATTTTCCGGTGTCACAGTGTTCCAGAAATATTCAGTTTTGCTGTATACACCGATATTACGGTTTACCGTTGAATTCCCATATAAAATATAATATCTAATACTATCACAATACCAGTTACCGATTTCAATACCGTCAAAACTAACTCAATGCATTGTTATCTTAAATGTTTCATGTCCTTGTGAAATCTTTCACAACACATTGAATAAAATATTTATGATATTTACTCACATGAAATATTTGAGACTTCAAATCCTATCTATATAATCAGAAAAACACAGTTATTATTATGTGTTAGTTATGATGTGTGAAATGGTAACAATCCTAAAATATTTCTTACTTTAGTCCAAATCTTCATTCTGCCTGTATTCATTACAGAATGACATATGTGATTCATAAAAAATTTGTGCTTAAAAAAAATAAGTTTGTAAGTTTATATCGCCCTTTTGCATATTACGTGTCTAAGAGGACACAACTAATAAAATTTAATTGCCTTTTATAAAAAAGAAAAATGAAAAGAAAAAGGAAAATGGAAATGTCTAAAACTAGTCAGAATATTTGAACTATTTATTTTGAATAAAAACAAAATAAGGAAATCGCTACAAGAGAAATCGAGTGAATATCCAATGTTGTAAAAATTTCAACTTCCAACTCTTATATAAATTTAATATGACTTACATTTTTGTTTTTTGATAAATTAAGACAAACTTGTCAGGAAACTTGTATTAAATTTTTAAATCTTAGATATGAGTATGAACATTTTTATGAATTTCTAATTAAATATAATTATAATGTTTCATGGTTCTTACGAATTTTGTCAAAATTAAGTTTATATCGTTAGTTTAGTTAGTTAGTTATAGAATTAAGCATAGATTATGATAAAATAATTAATTCTAAATAACGAGTTAGTTTTATATTTCATTGTTCTTTAACATATGAAATAAGTACATACCGCCCTTCTTTCCATATCCTTCAATGAACTTACGCAATGGACCTGACATTATTTGGATTAAGTTGAATAAGTGTTTATTGTTAGGTGCTTTGTAAATTTCATATTCACTTTATACACAGTCATAAGTACACATGAATTTTATAATTGAAACATTTATTTGTATTTCATTATAGACCATTGACAAAACAACTCACTAATTGTAAGTTCTCCACTCTCCACTTTCAACTCTATAAAACGTATAACATAAAATATTCTTTATTGGGCCATAAGCTCAAAATAACAGATATTGAATGTATAAGCCAATGGACATGTAGGGATATAATTATGCATAACATTAACTACATGGTAGCCACCGCTGCACATAAAATATCGCTTATAAAAATGTACCTAACTAGTTATGCATACTTACTTAAATCCTTGATCCTGGATTCATAATTATTGGTTTTTTGAAATTTGAAATCTATAAAAAGACGAATTATATTATGCATTTATCTCAGTTTGATACTTATCTTATAATTCATTCAAACTGACTACACACACTTCTGGTACAAAAATATAACATAAAAATACCTTTATATATTTTAATTATTTAGTTAGACTGATGCGATGGAGTATGACAAATAATTTTCAGCAATGGATTGAATATGTAACCGAAATTCTTCGTTCAATTAATATAAACACAATGGCTGCTAGATTTTTTGATACGTAAATATGATTCAAAATGAATAAACAATCAAATTAAAACGAAGATTCAGTGTTATCTCATTACTTAGTAGCCACTCAGACTCCTAGGTTTCACATAAACATAAGTCAGAGGACAAATGCAACAAAAATCAGTTAAAATGATTGTTTTCATTTCAACATTCGATCTTCAACACTTGAGCATCTCGAACTGGTCAATCTTCTGATAGAAACATCTTAACTTCTACTATTGATCTACTTCTAAGATTTCTAATTGACCCCAGAATATACGTAAAATGAGCGATAAAGCCATAAAATTAATGACTGGCAAAAACAAGACTAAAACTACTACTAAAACCACATAATGGCCAACATCTCAAAAAAAAATATAAAATTTTCGTAGAATCACAACGAATATGGCAAAAAATATCAACTACAATTATTGAATTCGAAACCACAAATAAGAAATCTGTATACAAAAAAAGTGAATTCATATTACATGGACATTATATTTTTATAATTTAAAGTGATGAAACAGATTTAAAATTACCATCTTAAAACTGTCATATCAATATGATATTATATTATTTTTCGGTGATTCGGAATTATAAATATATATATAAGGCCCATTATATTATATTGTAATATTACACTATGACTAACTATTGTCTTTTGCTGTGAATACTTACAAATAAAAATGGTGATCGCGAAGTCTATTAACTTGTTTGAAGTATATTCTATAAAAAAAATAATTTTTCTATTCGTTTAGGTATATAAACCGCAGTTCTTTACTAGTGTTATACTTTGATCTAATCAATTACACATAATTAAAACAGTCGGTATTATTTTTAGATAGTCGTCCTACACGAACCAAAGAAAACCATATCAACCCATGTAATAAACAACATTTCCAACCTCGAAATCAAGGTTAGGTTTCATATGAATTAAAAAAATCTTCTCATCTTTGCAAAATTCCTAGAACTCAATACCATAGTCCAATTAACTTAAACATATAAAAAAAGGCAATTGAAAATGTAATACTTCTCCTAATTTCAACCGACAATAAGATATTGCAATCACCCGTAACAGAATCGGGTATTCTTTCTTCACTCGCTTATGTCTAATCAGTAGTGATATATTATTTGGTGGTGTCACAGAAACGAATAATATAGCACGATATGAGAAAAACATAATTCGATGGAGTGTGGTGGTTGTTTTTCTCGCTGGGACGTAATGATACTAGGCCTTGATGATGGTGAAAAACCGACTAACTGCGGGTCTGTCTGACTCCACGACCGGTGACGCCGCGTGGGGCGCGTGCGGTCCAGTAGTCAGCTGTTGGGTTAGGTGTTTGGTACCGCGTCAAAATAATAATGTATACTTACCTTTAGAAATATATATTTTTAATTTCTTAACAGTAGCTATTAAAAGATAATTTATATTATTGATATAGCTCAGTTTGATGATTTTTTTTTATATTTCAAGAAAATCAATTACACATACTTTTATATTGAGTAAGTTATGTGAACATTACATAATATGT